ATCTGTATCTGTATCTGTATCTGTATCTGTATCTGTATCTGTATCTGTATCTGTCGCTAGCTGTGCAGAATGCTAACTTGTTAACAGCCGGATTAATGCCGTGTGACTTTTAATTAGAAGCTTAAAGTCGCATTCAGGTAGGCAGTAACAGATGCACCCTGAATTTGTATGCTCATTTTTCCACTCGTTTGCTATGAAATTTGTGCAGTTTGTTTTCAGCTTTGTATTTAGCCAATGCCCAATGGCAAACTCTACATTAATTAGTACAAATTGCGCTCAAATGTGTTGTTTTTTTCTTTTTCTCTGTACATGCCATTAGGCGCGCTGCGTGGGTTTCAGCTTGCTAATTGTAGGACACTAGCACACATACACATACACATACACACAGACACACACAGCATGAAACTGTCGAGCAGAGAGACAGCCACTCAGCACTCTTAACACACACTCGAACACACCAGAGCGAAGCGACGATGAGAGAGCGGATCCGCACCCACATGTCGTATTTAGTTTTTATATGCCTGTCACTTAAGCATACATATACACACACACACAGTCACACAGACACAGACAGACACTCATGGTCATACATACATATATAAAAAGCATCAAGTGCTGAAAATGTATTTATTACGTATGCGACATGTTGTCCGGAGCTGCGACTCAAGTGTCTGATATAAGTATGTAAGCGTAGCACAGCTCTCGGAAGCTTTAGTTAATTGTACGAATATCTGAATTTACTAAGCATTTTCTTTTGTTTTGCAACGCTAGCACATTTTTAGCAACAATTTTTACGTTTACAGAATTTCTTTTAGGTTTCGAAATGTATGCGTAAAGTAAACACACGGGCTGCCTGCAAAAGAGCAACATTAAAGGGACATCAAAAAATATTTCTATATACGTATTTTATTTTAATATACCTTCAATAAAGCTCTTTGGCAGGCATGCCTCTTAGAAAACGGAGCTCTTTAATTTTAATGATAGTTCCGACTGCAATATACCATGTCTATGTGTATGTGTATGTGTATATGTATGTGTATGCCATGCATAAGTATGACATCAAACAGCTTGGCTTGTAAAGTTGTGATTGGCTTTTGTGAAAGTTGCGCTGCAGCTTGACTGCATCTGCTAAGGGCATATGCGAATAACCATCGATGAACCCAATGGCAGCAGACTTTTATTCATATGCATCTTTTTTTATACTTTTTATAAGCTGATTTAATATTTTATCAGCAAGGCAGCTGCTTTTGTATTGGGCGAAGCTGACATAAAATCCAAATCTTTTTAGTATCGCTCAGTGATAAAATTTAGCTTAAACCCAAACTGCCATGGAAACATTGCTTGATGCAGTTTGTAGTATAATTGCTGGCCCGGCGGCAGTGGCGGGCTGAAACAACATTTAAGGCTGTTGGCAACATTTAGTTTTGCGCTTGCTGTCGTCGTCGGCAAACAACTTGAGCGCGAAAACAAAGACCTTGCCCTTTGCTGCAGCAGGAGCAGGGGCAGAAGCAGATGACGCGACGCATCAGCTGAGGAGCCGTGCCACAATGGGCAATTCGCAAGTGCAGCAGCTGTGGAAAGCTATTGAATGGCGCAAGACGTGGCAGGGCCACAGTGCCAACCAAAAGTCAACAAACACCAAAGTAAATAATGCCACAAATTAAAGCGCCAAACACGCAGCGTGTAATTAAGGAAAATATGCCAAAGATTAACTTGGACCCGAGTAGAAATGCTTAAAGTGTGGATTACGCTCGAAGCAAAAAGAAACGAAAGGAAAGCGTAACTAAGTCGATTCGAATGTTACTTAAATACCTACCACCCTGCCGTCTACATAGCTCTGTACGCACGTCAATCAGCTTAATCTATATAAAGCGCTACATTACAAAAATGTTAACTTAAAATCATCTAACGAATCCCTCGCAACAAAGTTCAAAGCCGAAAGTAAACAGTTCTATTTGAAGGCGATAGTTTTATCTATCGAGAGAAAATTGAGTTTCGGTCTTCGTAGATTGGGTTTTATTAAAACCTAAAAGCTTTTAACTTAATGCTCTTTGACACTCTAGAGATTCATATGGGAGTTGTACTTTATGTGTATTTAAACTGTTGTTTACAAGCATTGAAATTTCTTCTGAAATATTAGTAGAGAGGCTTTAAGAATACAAGCCTGAATAATGATTTAGATATTGTATGAATGGATAATTAGAGCTGTGCACTCTTCATTCTTGTCTAACTGCTTAAATAGTCTCATTTTATATGATTTCAGCCTGTTTGTTAAAACACGAACTCACAAAATTATTGACGGAGCACTGAAAGGTAGCGACTGCATGAAATTACAGCTGGTAGTCGAAACAACAAATGCGCTTATACAAAAATGAAATTCGCTAATGTTATTTGGTTCACGTCGATGGTTGAGTGCAGTCCACTAAATATGTGCTTATATCATGTGGCGTCTGGCCTGTGGTGGCAGCCTAGTATGAGGTTTTGGCTATGGCGCCGTTGGCATCGTGTGCGCCCATTACGCGTTTGATCTGTTCATGCTACGTTGAGCTCAGCTGCACGGCGTCAGGCAGACATTTGTTATCTGTGGCACATGTAAATTAGGTGAGCATTAACTCAAATATTATCAGATTACATAAGCCATTTGCATATTCAGTGGCAATGTGTCGGGCATTATTAGAGTTTGAAAATTGAAGCGCTACCGCTGATAACTATTTTCAATGTGTACACAAATAATTCAATAAAAATATAATTGCATTCAAAATACAAAAATATGAATTCACTCTAATTACTCTGGGTTTTTGCCATAAAGAAACTCATCAATGCATTAATTCAAGCAATATAAGCAAAATAAATAAAATCAATATTTATAAAACAAACATCAGCTATAAATAAATCATAAAGTGTATTTTGGTGAATGAACATGAATTTTATTAACAAAAATCCATTTATACTTAAAGCTACTAAAAAAGATTTTCAATCATTTTTTATTAGTTTAAAGCTCAATAGGAAATGTGATTTATAATTGCGAAAAAATTCCAGAAATAAATTGATTGGAATAGCAGAATTTAGTATCTAAGAATAAGACTTTTAAATTGGTTAATTCTACAATTAATATATAACTCCAAACTCTAAAGAAATATTCTTGAATATCGAATTTATTTAAACTTAATTCATATAAAAGACAAAAGAAAAATGATTTCAATAATTATATAAAAAAAAAAAAATGTTTATAGATCGAGAGATTATAAGTTTATATTGCACTCGTGCTTATCTTTCTTCAAGTTTCTTTGAGCAGACGAGACTTTGAGCAAAATTATTCCTATACTGCATGGCCTTAAAGTTACTTTTTGTATATATAAAACATCTTGAATAGATTCAGTTTCGCTATGAGCACTTCAAAAGAGTTCGCTAAACTTTCGCTCGCTTCTTGCTGTGCTATTGCATTTATTAAAATTGATGGGAAACGTTATGCACTTACCCAAAAATGCTGGAATCGCGCCCATGGGCATAACAAACAGGCTGACGAGCAGATCGGCTATGGCCAGCGAGAAGAGGAAATAGTTGGTGACATTTTGCAGCTTCCGATCCAGGGCGACGGCCAGGCAGACAAGTATATTGCCCAGACCGCCGGCAAATATGAAAAAGACCACGAACAAGAAGAGCCAGTCGTAGCCGTGTGGGGAGTAGTCCAGGAAGCTCCTCGATATGACAATGTCGGCGGCCGCCGTTGTTGTTGTGCTCATTGTTGTGTCGGATATGGTGTAGTTGGACAGTATCATGTCCAAGCTCGTAGTTGAATTGTTGGTGCTGTCGTTGCCGTGGCCCCCGCTGACATTCTCAACCATCTCGCTGAAGTTCAGCCAAGACCACAGGCCATCGCCCAGGTCGATGCGAAAGTTCTGCCAGCTGGTCGCTGTCTGCGGCGTGGTGGGGCTCACAGTCTCCTGCTCGAGCTGCAGCTGACACAGCAGCTCCTCGTCCACGGACTCACATAGAAACAACTTTCGGCTGCAGTTGCTACTAAAACTAAACGTATCACTCACATTATCACTAACGGTCCCATTGATTTCCAGTTCGAATTGCGCGTACGGCTCCTGCTGCGGCTTCGATAGCTGCGTGTCTAGTATGCATGGCCCTAATAGGGCTGCATCTGCCTCGGACTCCTCGAGCACGGCACTGCACGCATACAACACGTTATCCTCGTCCCTATCGTAGCCCTGCAATGTGCAATGGAATGTTGTGCTACTGCTGCTGCTGATGCTGATGCTGTTGCTGCTGCTGCTGATGCTGTTGCTGGTGCTGCTGGTGATGTTGCTGCTGCTGTTGTAGGAATTGTTGCTGTCGGCCTGGGCCGCCTCGCAGCTAATGAATGGCTGCCAGGCTTCGGGCTGTGCCGTTTGAGCCACACGACAGCTGAACTCGCGTGACTGCGATGCGAATGTTGTCGTAGTACTTGTTTCGCCTCTTGGCGTTTCAGGTGTCGGTGTCGCTGCGGCTGCTGGTGCTGCTGCTGCTGCTGCTGTTGCTGTTGTTGTTGTTGTTGGTCCATGACCAGCCTCACCTTGCATCTCCATTTCATTCTAAAGCTGTGTGGCGTGCTTCACAACAATAACTCGTTAAGCTTCTGCCTTTGTTGCTGTGCTTTCAATTGTTACTGCTGCTACGAAAAAGAAGAAAAAAACCAAATATACATAAGTACTTTTATTCACTGTGATCTATATCTAAATCTATGGAGTATATTATTTGAACATTTACATGCCCCTGCGGAGCTATTTTTAATTAATTGCAAATAGGCGCTTGCAAATTGCCTCTGACATGATTTATTGCAGAAACCACAGAATGTTCACAGTATTGCTTAATTACGCATCCCAAACGCAAATATCAATGCAATGGAAACCTATATTTGCATAGCTGTACACTGACACAAGGGTATTTTAGTGTTTAGCACAGGCAATTACTATCCTCACATATGATACGAAAATAAAAGCAAATATGTAATGTAATTCATGTGCATTTTAATTTATACAATTCTAATATTGTTTTTTTTTTTCATCAATATACTTTTTAAAGAGTTTGCCAGTGAGGGTATTTGATGTTCAGCGGCTTTAATGGACTGCCAATTTTTCGCTTTAAATATGTTTTCAGTTTTGTTTGCCGCTGTCAATAGTCGCGGCATGACGGACTGACATCAGCACTCAATGGACTGCCGCGTCATCGCTGCAGATTTCGCTGTGCGCTGTGAATGGCGGTGCCAAAGAGGCAAAGCTGCCACTGAATGAGCACGGCTTTTGCGTATCACTAACGGCAACTGTCAGCTTTAGCCGTTCGTTAGTCCCCAGTATCTAGTCGCCAGTCTTTAGCCACTAGCCGGCCGTTGCCAGGGGCTGCAGTCTGATAATGAGCTCTCATATCCTTGACGACACAATTGACGACTAGCAGCACAAAGGCTTAATTAAAAATGCATCGCGTTGAAGATTTATGCAAATTCGGGAACCGCTGCCGTCGGTGCAGCCCCTCAGCTGCGCTTATCCCCTTTCTATTTAGTTAACTAAAAATATGCTTAAAGTTTGTCACGGCCATTTCAGCTTTCGTGTGCAGCCAAAATATTATACAATTTTTTGTCATAACATATTGCCGGGCGTGACATGCGGGCGACATTGGACTGCGGCCGCAGGACTGCAGCCAAAAAGCGCATTCTGCATGCAAGTGATTTGCTCAATCAACCGCAACAAAGGCTGTTTTTAGGGTGGTTCGGTTGTGGAGCTCTAGAGCAACCACAACAACATCAACAACCATACAGTCATACACATAGGCAAACACTCACTCACACACCCACACACACACACGCACACATTCAACCTAACCGCTATTTGCAATTTGGCGCTTGGTGGAATGCAAAATTTTTGCGTTGCCAAAATGAAAATAAATGGGTTGCATTTTGTTCCCTTTTTCCATACAGCCAGCTGCAAAAGAGCGTATATCTGAGCATATCCTGAAAATTGTTACACACACAGCACACAGCTCTAGAATAACAATGGTCCCTTAATATAAATCAAACACGCACGCACACACACATCACTTTCGGTCTGTATGAATCTCACAAGGAAACTATTACAAATGCTTTTCTTAAAGAACTGCTGCAATATATGTATGCAGGGCAAAAGAATTTAAATGGGATTTCTGCTGAAGTACATACATATATCGAGGCTACAAAGCTTTACTTTCATATTGAAGTTTAGCTATTCAAATTGCCTTTAGTTGGGATAAAATTAGGTAGATGGGGGCGCGAATTCAATTTAATGTATTATGTATATACTAAAAAATTATTTTCTGAGAAATTATTTATGATAAAATTTTATAATTAATATGCAGAGCTATATATTTTTCGCTGCTATTAAAATGCTATGAAAATGCGATGAAAAGTAGAACTCTGCATATAGGAGGTATTTTTTAAATTTATCGACTAGCATAAAATGTTTATTAAATTATTGAATAAATATTTAAAAAAATATATATTTTTACTAAAAAAAAAAAATAAATAAAAATAATAATAATTATAATAATAATAATAAAATAAAAAAAAATAAAAACGAATAGATTTATTCTTGTAATATATTACCATTTTCAGATTATATATTTATTTTTTGTTTTCATGAATTAATAGTACTAAATTGTAGTTAAACAAAGTGCTAGTCGCTTGCATAAGGCTATAAAAGAATCCGTGAATCGCATTTAATATACAAATGCAAATAATACACACGGATTCAAATGTCTTGTTTTTGCTCTTATTTTTTATTTATTTGCAATCTATCTGTAGAGTCAAAATGGTTTAAATGTATTCGGTATAATCATTTGTATCACATTAACGCCGAATCAAAACTTACAAAAATAATTATAGTTTGTAATTATCCTGATGCCTTGTTCACATATTGTTTACCTTGAATTACGTTTATTAAAGCATAAACACTGAAATTCGCAGCCACCGCAGGGCAGCAATAATTAATAATTTGGTTAGGCGCTGTGGCGTTGAAATGTTGATTGGATATGTTGCAGGGACTGTCAAGTGTTATCGGTGGCCACCTGGTCTCCAGCTGATGACAGACCGCAGCCCAAGTGGACGCACTCCAGTCACTGCCTATGGCAGCTGCTCCCCACACATACATTACTACATACATACATATATATGTAGGTGCCGGGGGTCGTCAGCCAAACATTTAATGCACTTGCTCTGACAGTACTGTGATGGCTTAATTTGAAAAGCGTCCCAGCCCACAACTCTCTGCATTCCATTTCGCATTCGCGTAGCGCCTTATCAGCCGGCAGCTGGGCGACAGCTTTAATGATGGCATTGCAACTTTAAGTCCGTCACCCCATCCCCGTGTGACAGTTTTTATAAACGTGGCTGCTCATGTGTGGTTGCCATGTGGCTGTGCGCTGCCATGCTGGCCTCTTAATGAGTCGGCCAGGTAAGCAGCAGCGACTTTATTGCACAGTCACCTGGCAGCCGGCAGCTGGCTGCGCACCTTTTGTTTGATTGTTGCCAAATGGCTTATATGGCTGCAGGACACACAGCCATGGAACGAACCATCATTATTTTTGGACCGTCAGGCCGTGCCACACATTAAATAGTAAAGCAAAAATGCGAACTACGGCTATGCTGAAATAATTAAGAACTTTCCTGCTGCTCTGTATGAGGGAGGCGAAAGCTTTCCTTCAATTACCCATGTACGAACATATTCAGCCGAATTATCTAACTGAATGCATAATTCGAACCAGCAAGCAATTTATTTATGACTCACAGAATTTTGGCGATTATCCCGATGATTTTTGTGAGATTCAGGTATAGTAGTTATCTGCGATTTGAAACTTTTCCAGCCAAGAGCGTAAAATATGTTTTCCCAAAACTTATTTGATAGATTTCGTGCCCGTGAACATGCTCTAACGAATATCGAGTTTTCAGTATATATAAGATTGTCATCAATTAGGGTAAGTGCGGAACTAAAGTTTCTTAAATTACATTAAAAGTTCCTTATTGTTCGCTGCATTCTAAAACAAATTGCTTGCTATCAATTACCGGGCTTTGTTCAGCTGCTGTGTTCTTAAGTAATTTTCTATGGAAATATCTTTGTTAAGGAAGCACTCTTCATATTTGCTTTCAAATTTGCGTAGCTACTGCCGCAAAGACTGAAATAAGCAAACTGAGAAAAGTTTGACAAGAAGGTGGCTCATACATAAATATTTGCATTTCGGGGACTTAGCCAAATAAGTGTTTCTTTTTTATTGCGAACGCAAGAACACTAGAAATTACTTATGCTCCTTAAAGAAGTGTTCTTTATAAGAAAAAGCTTTTTTGTGATGAAATCTAGTAGAGAAAATACACAAAATATAAATTAATTAAAGAGAAGGTGATGTGTGAGAAATGTATAAAATAATATTACATGATACTCAGCCGAGCGAGCAGCAATGAGCACGACAATACAATGAACAGGACCAATATATGAGCATAATAATATATAAGCCGCAAAACTCACTTTATGGTCTAAGGACAGGCGTGGCAAACGAGCGGAATGAAAATAGCGGCCAGCTAGAGCAAATACAACAGTGGAGAACTACAGAAAAAAATGTATATCTATAGAAAAACTGGTAAAATAATATTTGTTTGGAACCCAATATTTGTTGATAGTATAGCTTTTATTTGTAAAACATGTATTCATTGACATAGAGACAGTGTTGCCAGTGTTGATAAGTTGGTTGGATTGTGTATAAATGTACTCATAGAAAAATAGGCTAAAATGATGGTAAAATTGCTGGAAATTGAGAATCGTAAAAAACATGCAAAAAGTAGAAAATGTATTTAACAAATTATTTTCAAAAATAATAAAAAGTAAACATAATAATTTAGCTAAGTATTTCCTATAAGTAATTTAGAAGTGTTTCTTCTCAGTATTTCCTCTTAGTATTCTTCTAAGCATTTCCTCCGAGTGTTTCCTCTAAGTGTTTCCTCTAAGTGTTTCCTCTTAGTGTTTCTTTTAAACATTTTCTCCGAGTCTTTACTGTTTAGCTGAACGATCACGATTTCCACATAATTCACTTCACTTCACTTTACTGCACTGGCCTGGGCGACTGAAGAAGCTCTTCAGCTGCAGCCCTTTTATATAGGATGACTAAATCACTAACACTAACACCAAGTCACGCTCAAAAGTTGAGCCCGACGGCAGGTAGAGGTCGTTGCAGTCGAATTTTAAGTGACCAATGGGAGCACTCTCTGCTGCTGCAGGCACTCTAGCTTCGTTTTACTCAAATATAAACACCAAATGAGTACTGCTGCATACACATAGACAAATTAAATGAGCTTCTGTAGTTCTTCATCGCCAATTACTCTTGTTAGGCAGGCAGACTGAGAGACAGATTGAGAGATAGACAGGGAGACAGATATACAGACAGACATACGAACAGATATATATATATATATATATTCAAATGAACCGTTGTAAAGTTCTCTTAAGGATTAGAACTTCGAGCAAAGTCTGCCTCAGCTCCTCTTTCGATTGCCTAAAGTAATTTTCCATGGATTATCGATCGGCTAGATCTAGCCTGGAAAAGGCTAAGCTGGCAGCACTGCATAGAGAGAGGGATAGAGCGACGAACAAACAG